TAGGTTCAGCCGAGGATCCGGAGGCGTGGTTAGGGTCAGCAGTGGTCCTGGGGCATGGTGGTCCTGGGGCGTGGTTAGGGTCAGCGGTGGTCCTGGGGGCGTGGTTAGGGTCAGCAGTGGTCCTGGGGCGTGGTTAGGGTCAGCGGTGGTCCTGGGGGCGTGGCTAGGGTCAGCGGTGGTCCTGGGGGCGTGGTTAGGGTCAGCGGTGGTCCTGGGGGCATGGTTAGGGTCAGCAATGGTCCTGGGGGCGTGGTTAGGGTCAGCGGTGGTCCTGGGGGCGTGGTTAGGGTCAGCGGTGGTCCTGGGGGCATGGTTAGGGTCAGCGGTGGTCCTGGGGCGTGGTTAGGGTCAGCGGTGGTCCTGGGGTGGAGGCCTCAGCCTGAGAACCAGAATGAACCTCTTTTCTTAGAGATTTGTTTATTTGAATGAGTTTTGGGGGGGAGAGGGAGAGAGGGAGGGAGGGAGAGAGCGAGCGTCCAGCTGCTGTTTTACCCCCCAGGTGGCTGCAACGGCCAGGGAGGGCTGGGCCAGGTCAAAGCCAGGAGCTTCATCCAGGTCTCCCAAGTGGGTGGCGGGGACCCAAGCACTTGGGCCATCTTCTGCTGCTTTCCCAGGCCACAGCAGGGAGCTGGACCGGAAGGGGAGCAGCCGGGACTCGAACCAGTGTCCACGTGGGATCCCGGCATCACAGGCAGCACCTTGTTCCTGCTGTGCTACAATGCTGATCCCAAACCTCTTTTCTCGTAGCTCCCTAGCCCCAGCTGTTTCATCATAGCAACAACAACAACAAAACCCAGACTCGTACGAAGACAGTCGGGCCGAGCCTCACCTGGCCACGCCTCTCACTCCGAAGTCATGTCCACATCTGAGAAGGACTGGGAGGGGAGGGTCAGCCCACCTCAGATCCGTGTCTGTTGGCAGAAGGCGTGCGACCCCTGGCTCAGAGACTAAGGACTTTGCCACTCACGTCACAGCTGGTGGCCGTCCGTGGTTGTGTCACTTCCTACCTGCCAGGCCCACGAGGGTGAGCAGGCAGGCCCAGGTGGGTTTTGCAGAGCAGTGAGGAGCCCTGGGCGAAGGGAACCAGAGGGAGGCACCACTTTTCTCTTCCAAGGCCATTTGCTATTCCAACCTGAAAGGAGAGAGGCTGAGGCCGGCTTTGTGTTGGAGCCGGTTAATCCCATCTGGGCACCGGTTCATGTTCCAGCTGCTCCACTTCTGATCCAGCTCCCTGCTGGTGCAGCTGGGGAAGCAGCAGAGGACGGCCCAAGCCCTTGGACTCCTGCCACCAGTAGGGGAGAGCCATCTGGAGCCCCAGGATTCTGGTTTGGGCCTGGCCCAGCCCGGGATGTTGCAGCCATTTGGGGAGTAGATGGAAGATTTCACTCACTCGCGCTCTCTCTCCCTCCCTCTCTGTAACTCTGCCTTTCAAATAATCAATAAAACATCAGAAAAAGAAAAAAAAGAATCTGGGGTAAAAGGGTGGTTGGTGCCTGGGCTCGCAGGTGCAGAAATGCGTCCCACCCACTGAGGGTGAGCTCTCTCTGATCCCTTAGGAATTCTTGCCCACGTACCTCCTCTCCGTTCCCACAGGCCACCCTGCTTCCGGTGCTGTGTCTTCCTCCTGTTCAGGTCTTGCTGTGGCAGCCGCCCCGTGCTCTGCACAGCTCCCAGACACGCCCCCAGATATCACCCTGAAGAGCAAAGCCGAACAAGTAACCTCTGTCACACTGCACCCCTCCTAGCTGCTCCCTTCTCTCCTCAGCCAAGTCCTTGGCAAGAGGAAGTCTCTTCTGTCTCCACTTCTCTCTGCTGATCACGCCACGGAGGCTGGACCTGACCCACTGGGGCCACTGGGACCCCAGCACCGGTGCCGGCCCTGCTGGCTCTGCCCTTGGCCTTGGCACTGAGCTCCCCAGGATCTCCAGCCTGGGTGCTCCTCTCCCTAAGCCCGGCGCTGAGTCCTGAATTTGTCTGCATTTCAGGGCCAGGCCCTTGGCTTCAGCCGGGCACCTGCTCAGCCAGACAAGGGGCATCCCTGGGGCCCTGGGCTCCTTGGGGGGGTGCCCTCCTGAGGCCTTCGTGTCCCCCAGACCCTTTCCCAGTCTGTGCCCCCTCTCAGTGGTGGCATCGATCATGGCTGGTACCAGACTTTATGCCGCTCATCCCTTTCTGCTCCACCCCCAACCCTGGACTCAGTTATCAGGTGGTGGCCACTTTATTCCCCAAATTAGCAAATGCATGATGACAGGCCAGCATCATAATACCACAGAACTGTAATTGGTCCCTGAGGGTTTCATTAAAAAAAGAAAAAAGAAGAAGAGGTGCCGGGGCTGTGGTGCAGCGGTTGAAACCCCGTTCTGCAGTGCCGGCATCCCATATGGGCGCTGGTTCTAGTCCCGGCTGCTCCACATCTGATTGAGCTCCCTACTATAGCCTGGGAAAGCAGTAGAAGATGGCCCAAGGCCTTGGGCCCCTGGACCCACGTGGGAGACCTGGAAGAAGCTCCTGGCTCCTGGCTTCGGATCAGCACAGCTCTGGCCATTGTGGCCATCTGGGAAGTGAACCAGCGGATGGAAGACCTCTCTCTCTCTCCTCCTGTAATCCTGTCTTTCAAATAAATAAGATTTTTTTTTAATAAAGAAAGCTCTGGAGGTTAGCCACACA